CCACTATGTGGATAGTGTTCAGGGCTTATTTACAAGAAAATTATTCAAAAATGTGCCTGACAGATGGTACCATCAACTCTGGGAACTCATATAGAGAGAGAGACAGAAGGCCCACTGTATTTATTTTTTTTTCATTGTTTGTTTCTTTGCTTCTTTCTTCCTATATGTTTCTAGGTTGGATAGGCCAGTAGAGGAACTCATATTTTTGCTGATATACTGATTTGACAGGAATCAAGAAGAGGCTAACACTGTAAAATAATTTTTCTTTGGTCAACTTTATTTTAAAAGTTGATTGAACTATAAAATGTAGAAAAGGTTTACATGACATAAAAGTCAACATTAATTTATGCAATTTAGTATTTAAATTAAAATATTAAAACTGAAATAAAAATAAAATGAAATATTACAGCAAGAACTTAAAACGTACACATTAATTTTTATTGAGAAGAAATAGATGTTTCAGCGATATGTAGTGTTTTTGATTATATTTTGTTGTAAAAGTTGTGTTATGTTTCAAGTCATCATTAGAGGGATTAGTGTTCAAAATTTTTACGTTTGTAGGGTTATAAAGCTTCTTTGAGTTTATAAAACTTTTTTCAGTTTGCTCAACAAACTGATACACAAGTTAAACTAAGTTAGACTAATCACTATTTCAATCCTCAGCTTCACCTAAAATGCAGGCTTAATGAACTTGAATACACAAATAAAAACATAATTTTTGAGTTTGTAGAACTTGTGTTTAGTAAAATTAAAGACCAACATTAATTGTGAATTTGATTAAAAAAATTTTTTTCCATAAGCTCAATAACTGTAAAAAGTCCTGAAGATGGTTGCATCAAGCTTTTGAATTTGCAACGTTCAGTTTTTTTTTTTTTTACAGTGGAATTACTTTTGTAAGTAGGATTTGGTGATTGAAAACTGGTTCTTATTCAAAATCTGGTGCATTATTAAAAAACAAAAACATGACTGTATGACTTATGAAGTTTAGTTCCATTAACGGTTCTTGAACGCCTACATTCATCTGTCAGTGTGGAACGGTATTAAACAAGATATTGAATCAACAGAGCCACAGCAAATTATTTTTTAGGTTGTTTGCAGACCAAACTGAATGTGAGAGAGAAATACTGTCACAAAATAATACAAACACAATGAATAGACAACTTGCACAATCCAATTATTTCACTGTCCTCAGTACTTAGTACAACATTCATATAGCATGACCAATGCAGTCTAATTCTCAAATGAATAACTTCTGAATGAATTCCATTAAACTGCCAGAAAAAAAAGCTTAAGGTTATGCAATTTCTCCATGTCTACACTCAATACTCTCTCTCACATGTAGTTCTTAAAAATGGCACCTTTTTTTTGTGTGCACTTGTTGGTGACCCAGTGGGCAGCACTGTGTTTCCCAAGACCAGAGACGCTGAGCTAGGCTCCAGTATTTGGAGCAGAATGGATGTATTCCATAGTTTGAATACGTTTCCTCAAAACTTGTTTATGGATTGTTAAGTGGAACGGGAATCCTTACAATTCTCATCCATATATGTAAGTCTCCTGCTTTGAAATTCTCTAATTTACTGAGAAAGAACCATGTCACAACACACTCCTCCTACTGCACTCATTCATCTTTCTGTGCCTGAGGCTCTAAAACAAATCAGCAAGAACAATACCAGTCAGAAATAATAAATGGGGGTAGAAAGCTTTGCTGACTTTGTGTCTGAGTGATTTAATTTCCTAAAACACGAGGTAGGGTGGTAAAGACATGGCCTGAGAGCAAAAGAGGATTACGATTTATTCTGGTGGGCTTAGTGGCCTAAGACCTCCCACCAGACATCAGTTTTCCTCAGTACAGGGTAGTCAATTATGGAATAAATCTCTTTTTCAACTCTGTGTCTTCCCTTTATGTCCTTTCAGCCATGTCTGGGTAAAAACCCATGCTCTTCTCTACCCCACTGCTGTATAATTTGCGCTACTACTCTATCTTGCTACCCATGGACAGCAGTCTGGCAGCATATGGACCCCTGTGTGCAGTCGGCCACATTTTGAGGATAAGAGTCTTTCACCACCTCAGCCAATCGGCCTTTAATGCTCAAGAGTTTGAAGGGCAATCTGGCTCACAGATTTTACATAAATCCCCAAGTCGGTTGGGCGCGGATTTATGGGTAGCCCCAACGTTTCCTTTGTGACTCTCTAAAGGAATATTGTGAATTCAATAAGGGTAAGCTCAGTTAACGGGATTTGTACATTGTAAAAAATGTTTGGAATCTTTACAGAAAAAAAAGAAAGACTGTAAAAATGCTACAGTAGAAACCTGTTAATTAGTTAACTAAATTATCTTACCATATACAATTACTTTAAGTGGTCACATTATATGTAATTTTACTATAAGATACTGTCAAATTTAAGGTTTTTGGAAGTAAATACTATAATTTGCCATATAATTTACAGTGAAGTAAAAAGACATTCCCAGAAGTTCCGTGTGACATGTAATATGCACATATTTTATACAAATATATTTTCTTCTGACTTTTGTCAACATTACAGTATTTAGTGAAGCTGTGGTTTAAGTAGATGGGTACACTATATTAACATTATGAGAACCATAATGTTAATATAGTGTACCTATCTACTTGAACCACAGAAGTTGTAAAATATTCAGAAATATAGTAAGACTGGAAACATTGTCACAGTATTTTTTATGATGAAATTTGCTGTAAAAATGTACTGTGCCTATAAAATCTAAATATAGTGAACCAAAATATTTTTTTGACTGTAAATTTAACAGGATATCACAAAAAATTACTTTGACGTGTCCTTGTTTAATTTAAAAAAAGCAAAAATTGAGGTTACAGTGAGGTACTAAAATGGATATTTGAGCTATACAATATATTTGAGCTGTAAAACTGTTTACATTGTTTTTACAGTTATTTCGTGTTTCTGGCATTGCATTGTCACGACAGCAATGTTGTAAAATTCACACTAAAAGAATGTTAACACATATCATTTACATCTTGTGGCTATACTATTGAAACAGTGAGTATTTTAACCAGAGTTCAATCATGACAACTCTCGGAACATTTTAGCACGGTGATGAATATGACAATGTTAATGTATTTGGTCTTGGTGTAACAGATCTGCTACGCTGCTGCTGAATTGCTGCTGCTGTTGGTTATTGCTGTAGTTGTAGATTATTGCTGCTGCTGCAAGCAAGTACAGGAACTTTATTGTAGTTAACTAAAACAGAAAAATAAAACGAAAAAAAAAAAGCACACTAAAGAATCCAAAATACTAAAAATGACAAATACTCACAATAAAATTACTTAACTAAAATAAAAAATAAAAATATAAAATTAAACTTTAAAATATCAGTATTAATAAACCATAATACTCAATGATCTCAATGATACAAAAATACCACTGATTTGATCGTTTATAGATTGTCCCCTTTCACTTCCATTGTAAGCACCTCACTGACACTAGATTTCCACCTTTAGAAGTAGGGGATAAAGCATGGCTAGCTGTGCATTAAAAGATTTTAATGCATGACGTGGAGACATAGAACCACCTGATGTGAAGCGGAGGCCTCCGCGGAGTGCATTAAAATCATTTAATGCCCAGCTAGCCATGCATTATCCTGCTTATACCATGGTCATTTAACAGCATTAACAAGTTAAAGCTGCAATATTTGTCCGGAAGTAGTGTTGTCAAAAGACCCGGTATTTCGGTACCAAGTCGGTACTAAAAAAAATGAAAACGTTACAGTACCAGGTTTTCTTAAGTACCGGTGGTACCGAGTACCCGGTCAACCCGGTTCTTGATGCGCTATCCGAAAGCCATCCTCTTCCAGTTTTGCCAAGTCCACGGTTTTCCCGCGGAATTGGGCTGCTTTAACACTGTTGCCGCGGGTTGAAAAACGACCCCACTAACATGATATTTAGTTTTCACTGGTATTGGTACCGAATACTGAAATTTTGGTACCGTGCCAACACTATCCGGAAGGGTAAAAATTATGGTTATTTTTGTCAGTCACGGCTCATTAGAGCTAGTATTGTGCCTGCTGTAAATCAGACACAGAGATGAAATAGTGCAGTAAGACCACATTTATTTGAATTAATTAAGAGAGAGAGAGAGAGAAAGAGAGAGGGACGTAAGTTGCATGTGTGCATTACCTGCACGTCTCTTTCTACAAACAGTGAAGCTGTGAGTTTGATTATTTCAAAAACAGCGATTTTACCTCTTCGTTGCTGATGAATATAATGTAGCGATCAAGTATCTAAGCTATTTGGTTAATTAAAGGGCAGCGTTGACAAGTTTTTGTGCTCCTGAATGTTTCTGTGTGTGTGCACAGTGCGATCTCCGATCTCTCTCTCCTTCTCTCTCTGTGTGTGTGTGCAACAATGAATGCAGCGGATTAATATAGGTGACTAAACTGACCTGGAAATACCTGTGCATTAAACAGTTTTAATGCATACTTGCCAGCCAATCAGAATAGAGTATTCAGACAGACTGTGCTATAAAGAAAAAGATGGGATATTCCTTTAAGTTGTATTCTTGCAAATCACCCTAAAGGTTTTACGGCCACTGTCGGCCCAAGGCTGCCGGAGCAAGATTACATTTGCCAATGTGAACGCAGACATCAATGGGCAATTGTCTGGCTTTCATCAGTCACCTACCGCACAAAGCCTTCAAAGTTGTCTGATTGTTCCACTGTCTAATGGCTAAATATCAAATCATCAGTGAGGCTGGGCACATTATCTCCTCTGTGAATGCCCTCATCAGCTGAGCTTTTGTGTTTGACCCATCTGAGCTCAGGAGGTGTGTCGGGCTGTGTGCGAGTTGATAAGGCTGTGTGGCCATCTGAATGACAGGATGACAAATATTGTCATCATCTTCAAATGAAGTGGCATTAAAGGTGGATGGGAAGGCGTGGAAGGTTTGGACAGCTGCCTGAGTGCGGATGAAACAGGGGACGTCTGGAGATGTGATGTGAGGGTACTTACAGGAGAGAGCCTTCTCGTAGTTCTTTCCCATGGCAATGAAATTCCGCAAACAGGGATTGAACTGTTCCATGATGGTCTGCAAGAGAGGGAAATATTTGTTTTTAAGGCAGAATTGCAACATGTTAAGTGTGCATGGGTTATCCACAGGCCCATATAAAATCCTCAAACTAAGGATGCACCAATTTTAAAAGGCTAAAGGGCTAACCAATACCAATAAACCTATAATTATCACCAATGGCCAATAAGCTAATGTTAAAATTCCTTACTATTTTGTCTAAATAAAAGTGAAATAAATGCTAAAGAGTAAAAACATTATTTGTAAATGCTACAAGTTCATTTAGGCATCACAACATTAGAGAACTTAAATTTTCCTTGATCTTTTGACATATCGTATACAGTAGTTGTCAAAAGATTGGAAACACTGTGCTTTTTAAATGTCTTTATATCAGTCTCTTATGTGCGCACCAAGGCTGCATTTATGTTTAAAAAAAAAAATAGAGTAAAAATACTAATATCGAAAAATATGATTACAATTTGAAAGAATTGTTTTCTATTGTAATATATTTTAAAATGTAATTTATTCCTGTGATGCAAAGCTGAATTTTCAGCAGCTATTATTCCAGTTTTCAGTGTCTCATGATCCTTCAGAAATCATTCTAATATGCTGATTTAATAAATAAATAAATAAATATAAATATATAATTAATTATAAAATATAAATATATTAAAAAACATTTAAATAACCATTATTGGACATAGTCTGCCATCTATACTGACACAGTCCTCACAAAAAAGACAAATAAAAATAGAAAGGAAAAGAAAAGAAAAAGAAATAGAAAAATAAAAAGAACAGAGCAGGCAATTTGTAATATGGCAGCAAATTGACAGTCTACATATATATACAAACAACGTCAGCAGATACCACCTGTGGCTGGTTATTAAAGGCAACTGATAGCATTTACCGCCTGCTAAAAAGACTAGATCATGCATGAATTTCAATGATGGTTTAGTGCCTTCTATAGTTAAAGGGTTAGTTCACCCAAAAATGAAGATTCTGTCATTAATTACTCACCCTCATGTCGTTTCAAACCCGTAAGACCTTCGTTCATCTTCGGAACACAAATTAAGATAGTTTTGTTACTAGTATAAGTCGTTATTTTTTTTTCTTTTGCGCACAAAGTATTCTCGTAGCTTCGTATAATTGCGGTTGAACCACTGATGTCACATGGATTATTTTACAGATCTCCTTGCTATGTTTCTGGACTTGGGAACATTTCAGTTGCGTTGCTGTCTATGCATGGTCAGACAGCTCTCAGATTCCATCCAAAACATCTTAATTTGTGTTCCGAAGATGAACGAAGGTCTTACGGGTTTGAAACGACATGAGGGTGAGTAATTAATGAGAGAATTTTCATTTTTTGGGTGAACTATCCCTTTAAGCTAGTTGACCAAGGACCTCCAGCACAAAACATCTAAAACATAACATATGAGGCAGCAGGGGCTGTGCATCCGCACACCCAAACATACCAAAGATACTTCCATTTTCCCTTATGCAAAAACTGTCCACAGCATCATCCCTCATTCACACCACCAATCATTCCATGTTGTGTTAAACTGTGTGTGATTATTCTTGTGGGAGGGAAGCAGACACTCATTCTGGGGGTGGGCAAAGAGATTTTACATTTTGTTCAGGGCTTTGAGGCTGTTTAAGAGGATGCAAGGAAGTAAAAGAGATAGAAAGTGAGCATATGTTAAGAGTTAATGAACATATTTTGCTCTGAAGTGCTAGTTTGTGGGCTTGTTAAACTGCCAGGAAGTGTATACAGTGCGTTTTAAGGAAGGGCTGGGATGTCTGGTGTTTCTGAGAGGGCACATATGAAGGGAGGGCAAATTGTCTCGAAGCTCCGTTCCTAGTGCAACCAAAATAAACACTTTACCGCCTCACCATGCTGTAATCCTTCAGTGATGCTCACTCGAGCGGGCATATGTCATAGCACCTGGAACACCCTGATCCACTTCCCCTTCAGGGCTTCCTCCAATTAGAGCAGCCATAGTCTGCCAGGGCCTTAGGGTTAACAAAGGCCTGAAGCTGACAGCACAACACCACCGAACCCTGCTTTCTTCCTCCAAAATTCACCATGAATAACTACAATAAGAAAATACCATCTAACGTTAAACTTATACAGCAGCCATATACAGCATCCCATACAGCAGCCTTTAACACCTCACAGTACGAATGGAGCGATTACCGGTTTCAAGTTATACCGCGATTTGAAAATTTCACGGTTTCAAAACCACTAACATTTTCCATTATACCGTTCTTGCGGTATGCGCTGTTTTTCCATGTCTTCTCAAAGACTGAAAGTGTAGGAATCCCTCAGGTTGAGTGCAGTGTAGAGAGTAACATGACCCTCCATGTTGGTGCGAGCGAGCGGTCAGACCGTCACGTGTGTGTAGGACGGCCGAACTTAAGGAGTTTCCCCTGGAACTTACGCGATCAGCAACCGGCCATTTTTTGTTTTATTGCAGCCGATCTCTGTTCTGGACTTACACAAACTGCATTGCAATGCAATCATTTTCCAAAATGTAATTTATGTGAAAATATGAAGTCTAAGCCCGTTAATAGAGGCCAGAGACACTGAAGACGGACGCAAAGAGAAAAATACTGTAGCAGGCAGATCACTCACTGTTCATGATGCACGAACTATTGGGAGAAAATCCTAAATATTGATTTGGGGGTTTATATGAACATGTTTCTGAGGGGAACTGACGGTCTTCAGAAAAGTTTACGTGGTATTTTCTTTTAATCTCGTCTCTGTATAGTTCATATTAAAGCAGTGTTTCAGCAGTGCTGCTTTGTTTAACCAAGCGGTAACCAAGGAAACACTGTATCTGGTGTTGCAGAAGCGCCTCCTGCTGTCAGAGAGTGAATCTGCATCTCATTCAGAGCTTCTGCTGTTTGTTTCATTCAGGCATGAATAGGGATGTAACGATTAACCGCGAGCCGGTTGAAATTGATTCAAATATGTGACGATTCAAATCGGTTGAGATGCTAAACAAATCGCGATTCATTT